GATCCCTATCGTTCGATCTCCTGTGGACAAGTTTTAGTGTTTAATATTATTATTATTATTTCGTTTGTGGTGATCAGATTCTATTACCGAGTTCTGCTGCAACTCTTTGCACTCAACTCAAGCATGGAATTATATTTTTAGTTTTCTTTGAGGAAAGTTGAATTACACTTTTGGTTATCAATCATATTTTTTTTGGGTCAGGGAAGTTATCAATCGTATAGTTCATCATCTAAGCTGGTCATTTCTTTTCATCTGGAAAACAAATACTTTTAGGGCATGTTTACGTATCAGTAATGGAGAAAGTAAGGAATCAGAGAATTTAGGAACCGGGAAACTATTGAATCGGTATGGGAAGAATCATTCCCATTAAACTATTTACTAAACATATGGAATCAGCAAAGGAATGGGGTTGATTCCCATTGTTATTGTTTACTAATTTTCATGAATCAGAATCCAAATTAATTTGATTACTAAAATGCCCTACACATTATCACCACAGCGCATATATAATTCTCAAATTGGCTGAGACCAAACTAATCCTATAGCAAACCAGTAAGGCGGTGTAAACATGAGGAATCAATATGCTGAACAAGATGAACAGCAAGAGCTCAGTTCAATGATAATGTTAATAACACCTTTGTCCAGAGCCAATTTCAAACGAAAAAATAAACTTCAATAAATATATATCTTTCACCTACGTAACTAGCAAACAATCAAATAATAATAACCTGCATAATCTTCATACTACCAAAAAAAGAGATATATAATCTCCACAAAAGTCTTTATTCATGACCGTACTTTTTTTTGTGTGATAAATGTGAGGACAGAAGATAGAAGAAGAAGATAGATAGATAGAATGACTTACATAACACAAGGCGTTGCTGCTACTTCTGGGAGGTTGTGTTTGCAACACTAACGTGAAAAAGAAGTTGGAGCGTCTTGGAACTTCTTGGCTTGAGTTTTTATTTTTTTTAGGGTTTGGGATGTTTTGGAATTATGGTAAAGTGGTAAGGGTTTTTTTGGCAGTTACTAAGAGAAAATAGGAATGGGAATCGTATCGACTACTCTTCCCTAGTTGATATGATACCTAGTTTTGAGGGGATGTGATTACGGATTTTGAGGTGGGGCCCACTTATTTTTTCATTCCTGATTGCAAGTAAACGCAGGAGAAGTCAGGAATGGAAATCATTTCCTTTCCTCCCATACCCATTACTGATACGTAAACATGCCCTTAGTGTTCAGTACGGTTGATTACTATATCATCCTTCACACAAATATTTTCATCTAGTCATTTCTTTTCTCTAGAGAAAGGGCTCTCATAATTATACACACTAAAGAGAGAGAGAGAGAGTGTGTGAATAAACTGTATGGTTGATTACTATATCATCCTTCACTTTTTAAAGTTATCAATAAGCTAATTTGATAAGAATAAAGGATAAAATTGGTATTCTATCCTCTGTGTCTTATTTGGGCCCTTTCTTACTTCATCCTTCTTTGGGCCTTGGGGGTCGCCGATTTAGCTGAGTGGGCTACGGACCTCAGGGACTGAAACGCCGCGTTTCACAATCTGATGATCTCTTGGCTTGGGACGGTGAGTTCCTAAAATCTGATCAATCAGTCCGATTGGATTTGGAATTTTTTGGGAATTTGAAGTATTGGTGAAGAAGGAACAGCACAGCAAAGCGAGAAATGCAATTCTTCGGGGGAACGGAGATCAGCCCGTCGCTGCCGGCGTCAACGGCGTCGGGGAACAACGGCCACATGATGTACGTGTTCAACAGAAACGGCGTCTGCTTGCTCTACCGTGAATGGAACCGGCCTCTTCACACCCTGAACCAACAGCAAGACCACAAGCTCATGTTCGGCCTCCTCTTCTCTCTCAAGTCCCTCACCGCCAAGATGGACCCCACCACTCCCGATAAGGCCAATCTCGGCGTCCCTCAGCTGCCCGGCCAAGGCTGTTCCTTCCACAGCTTCCGCACCAATACCTACAAGCTTACTTTCATGGAATCCCCTTCTGGCATTAAGGTTAGCTTTTTCAGTTTTCTACGTCTCTTTTTTTTTTTTTTTTTTTTTTTACTTTCAGATCTTGAAATTAAGAATTATGGTTTGATTGAATATGAATATGAAATGTTTGTTTCTTCTGTTGGCAATTTTCTAGTATTAGATCTAACGATTTAGATCGGAAAGAAAGGCCTCTCCTCTCACTCAATTACATTCTCGAATTTGTGCTTAGATTAGAAATTTGGACATGTGTGGTTGTGTTTGTGTATACCAAATTGTCGTACAATTAGATTAATTCTTAATGTGCTGCCGCTGCTTTCTTACTCTTTGTTTTGTGTTTGTGTGTGCAGATTATCTTGGTTACTCATCCCAGGACCGGCGACTTGCGTGAATCTTTGAAGTACATTTACAACTTGTATGTGGAATATGTCGTGAAGAACCCGCTCTACACTCCTGGAACTCCAATCAGGTAACTGGTTCAGTTTCGATTCTCGTAATGTAGTACATGATCAATCTTCATAGTAAGAAGTTTCATCTCATAGGTCATAAATAGATAGTCATCCCTACTACATGGATTGATATTATCAGTTTTATAATTTTCTGCTCACACTGTGTCCCATTGGGAATGCTCAAGTAAAGAAACTTAATATTGCAATTAGTGATAAAAAACTGTCTCCTTGCATGTTTTGTTGCACTATAACAAGACTAATATTTGAACTAGTTTATTTCTTGTTTTAGAAGGCATGTTGATGTGTATCATCTTATTGTTGTTGTTAGTATTTTGTAAACTCTGTTTGTTTAGAACCTGTCTACTTTTCTTTTCCTTGCATATAAATAGGTCTATTGAATTATTCTACTGGTGGCTTATCCATCTCTGGTACTTCATGGATACCTGATTCATTGATTTCATAATACTAGAACAAAGTTTCACTTCTCCGGGGATTGCTTCTTATGAGATTTTGTAATACAGGGTTCAACTGTATATTCCTTGTCTAGATATGGTTATACTATATCCTTACCTTTGTAAGGTTTTCATGCAAACGAAAATAGTTTTTGAATCCCAGAGTAATGTTTCCTTGTAGGTGTGAGCTATTCAATACAACGCTCGACCAATATGTAAGGAGCATTTCGTAGAAATCCAGTCACCATTATCATCTACTTGTTCGTTGTTTTATAAAAGTGGATTTTAAACAAGGAAATGGAAAAGCATGCCAAGATGAGGCCACCTATGTGTGTTTCTCCTTCTGTTTGGACAATGATCTTATGTCTAGGCTTATGCTTAAAAAGCAGCAATGTTCACTCTTACCCTGGCCCAAAGCCGATGGGACACGTTTGGTTCTGATTCTGCAACTTGATTTAAAGAGTTTTACAATGAGAGATGCCCTAACATTTTGACCTGTTTGGACTTTAGGTGTTTATGGCATGATGTAATATCCTATTTGTTTATGTTAAATTGGTTTGATATACTCTAGAAGAATGCTCTTCCTTGACAAATTTATAGTTTTCCAGACATTGTTGTAGGCCTTCTATGAGTCTCTTCCAAAAGAGAGCGTTCATAGTTCCCTTAACGAGTTCTCAGATATCTTGTGTGTCGCAAAACAATGTTTGATCTTTGTAGGAGCTGTAGAACTGGATGATACTGTTGGTAGGTGATGAAACATTAAATCTGTATTAAATTTGTTTATATATATAACCATACATAATATATTGTATGGTCATGCGGTACCCATAGTTTATTGAGTGTACTGCATGAAATATCGTAATCAATCACCGCTAAAATTGCGGTCTCTTTGCAATTCATAACCCATTTTGTTTACCAACCAACCATTTGGGAAGGCATCTTCCTTGGAACAATAGTGAAAACCTTTCTAGCATGTTGTTTCTAAACATGAAAAAGACATTTACCAAAGTGGAAAGGACGCGTCAAAGATAAAGAAGACTAAAGGAGAAAAACTCTCTTATTGGGCTGGCGGCTCGAAAAAGAAGACTAGTTCTCATAAAATTAAAAAAGAAAATAAAGAAGACTAGTATTTAATTTCGAATTCTCTTCTCTGTAAATTAGATTGATTTAGGTCCGTTTGATAACTCTTTCAATTTTAGTTTTTATTTTTTATTTTTTGTGCTAGAGCATTGAGGAAAATGAGAGTGAGAATGAGAGTGGAGATAAGATTGAGATAAATGATATGGGAGGGAGGAGTAGCAAAAGTGAAAACAAAAACTAAAAGGTGAAATTTTTTTGAAATTATTTTCACTTTTGTTACTCTCCCTCACATCCTCTCTCTCAATCTCATCCTCACTCTCATTAAAAAAACCAAAATTGAAAAAACCAAAATTGAAATGGTTATCAAATGGAATTGTTCGTATTTTTTATAATAGCAAAAAAGAAAAGAAAGTGAGAGAGAATGAGAGATTATTAGTAGCAAGCAAGTCGTATATGGACATATAAGAGCCAAGTGCAAGCACAGAGCAACACACCCACAAAGACATAGCGATGGAGGCAGCTATAGTTTTATACCCATCGCCACCAATAGGCCACTTGGTCGCCATGGTAGAGCTTGGCCAGCTCATTCTCACTCGCCATCCTTCTCTCAGCATCCACATCCTCATCACCACCCCGCCCTACAGAGCCGATGACACCGCCAAATATATTGCCTCCGTCTCCACCACCAACCCCTCCCTCATCTTCCACCACCTCTCCACCGTCTCTCTTCCTCCCTCCCTCACTTCCTCCTCCAACCACGAATCCCTAACCTTAGAAATCCTCCGCCTTAACAACCCCAACGTGCGCCAAGCCCTCCTCTCCATCTCCACCAACTTCTCCGTCCGTGCTTTTGTCCTGGACTTCTTCTGCGCTATCGGGCTCTCGGTCGCCGCCGACCTCAACATCCCCGGCTACTTCTTCTTCACCTCTGGCGCTGCCTGCCTCGCCGCCTTCCTCTACTTCCCCACTCTTCACACCACCACCGACAAGAGCTTCAAAGATCTCAACGCCCTTATCAGCATCCCAGGAGTGCCGCCGGTGCCTTCCTCTGATATGGCAAAGCCAATTCTTGATCGCAACGACATGGCGTATCAATGTTTCCTAGAGAACTCAAAGCAATTCCCCAAATCAGCTGGGATTATGATAAACACGTATGAATCTCTCGAGCCCAGAGCCATCAGAGCATTATCCGATGGGCTGTGCTTGCCTGAAAATGTTCCCACGCCGCCAATGTACTGCATAGGACCGTTAATTATTGCTCACAATAAAAAAGGTGGCGGCGGCGATGATGTGCCGGAGTGTTTGACTTGGCTTGATTCACAACCAAGCGGAAGCGTGGTGTTCCTCTGCTTCGGAAGTTTGGGATTGTTTTCAAAAAAGCAGTTGCAGGAGATAGCCATTGGGTTGGAGAGGAGCGGTCAGAGGTTTCTGTGGGTGGTCCGCAACCCGCCTGCTGAAAACAACAGCGGTGTTGCCATCACGGAGCAACAGGACCCGGAGTTGGAGTCTCTGCTTCCGGATGGGTTCTTGGGTAGGACCAAGAACAGGGGGCTGGTGGTGAAGTCGTGGGCCCCACAAGTGGCGGTGTTGAATCACGAGTCAGTAGGCGGGTTCGTGTGTCACTGCGGGTGGAACTCGGTGTTGGAGGCGGTATGTGCTGGGGTGCCGATTGTGGCTTGGCCGCTGTACGCGGAGCAGAGATTTAATAGGATCGTTATGGTGGAGGAGATCAAAATTGCTTTGCCGATGGAGGAGTCAGAGGACGGGTTTGTGAGTTGTGATGTGGTGGAGAAGCGAGTTAGAGAGTTGATGGACCCGGAGGAAGGCGACTCAGTGAGGAAGCGGACCAAGGCTCTGCAGAGTGAAGCCCATGCTGCACTGAGTGAGGGCGGGTCGTCTCGGGTCGCGTTAACGGAACTGTTTGAAAAATGGAACCAATTAGGCTAAAAAGTTTAGTTCAGTTCAGAATTCAGATAGATATGATCCATTTTATACCCTCTCTTTTAGCCTTATCTGTTGTTGTAAAGCCCTCATGGTCATGAGTCATGACTCATGACGGGTGGGGGTGTGTCGCATTCAACATGACTTGAGGGAGGAATGTAACTCTGCTGCTGCTGATATGCTTACTTTTATTGGGATCTCCGAGATTTTGGGTCTCCATCTTCCCCCTGTTGTTGTGAGCCTGTGAGACAATTAATGTTTAATGAGTTTTTAGTTCAATTACGCAATTTGTGTTCATGAGATGTATGTCGTTGTCTCTCTATCTCTCGCTACCGGTTTCACAGAATCACATGGCTCCACCTAGAGGTGTCAAACGGGCCGTGCCGGGCCGGCCCGTCCCATTTAAACTCGTGCTTTTAATATTTTCGTGCCGTGCCGGGCCGGCCCATTTAATTTATCGGGCCGTGCCGTGCCGGCCCATTTAATAAAATCATTGATCACGGCCCGGCCCAAAACTCATGTCCATATTCAAATGGGCCGGGCCGGGCTTGTGCCGTGCCCGTGCTCGTACTCGTGCCATACTCGGGCCCAAGAACCAACCCATTTAATTTGAATTTTTTTCACTTGATTTTTTTTTCCACTAGATAATTTAAATGATAAACATTAAAAATATAATTTGAGGCGAGAAATTATGAACTATTTGAAAACATTAATCAATCAAACATCCAAACAATATGAAGGGGCGGAGGGCAAAAAGTGTCCAACTCCACAAAGTCCACTTGAACTTTTCATCTTTAAACAACTTATTCTTTTATATGTGAAGAAATGTTTTGCTTTGATTATAGGAGAAACATATCTGTCATATGTATTGATTAGATATCAAGTCCAATGTTGTTTAATTAATTTGTAGTTGATATGTTTAATTAACTAAAGACCCAAGTAGTGATTTGTATAATACGTGAACTTTGTGTGAATTATTGAAAATTGTAAATAATATGGTAATTAAGCTTTAGAAATGCGTATGTACATGTACAATACGACTATTATATGTTTGCTTTTTAAAAAATAGTAGACATGTATAGAATACGAATGTATTATTGAAAAATACATACGTACATATATACTTATATATATAAAAGACTATAAGATATGAATTAAATTAAAGAAGTTGAGGGGAAAACAAACTAATTTTATATTTTTATAAAAAAAAATTTAAAAAAAATAACATAAACACTTCTCCCGACGAAATTTCGTCGGCATAGGTCTATGCCGGCAAATATTCGTCGGATTAGGTTTCTCCCGACAAAAAACCCCTGCCGACGAAATTTCGTCGGGAGAGGTCTTTTTAAAAAATATATACATAAACTTAGGATGTTTAGGTTAATTAATTTTTGAAAATTTTATTTTTATTAATTAAATAATATATTTGACTGATTTGATTAGTTAAATTAGTAATTATATTTTAATTATTATTTATTTAGTGAATAATTAGTATTAAATATGTTAATTAACTTCATGAATTATACTACTTAATAAATAGTACTTCAATTTTTCTTTTTCTTTGTTTCCTTTAATATTCACTAAGTAAATAATAACTAAAACATAACTACTAATCAAAGTAATTAAAAAAGAGATACATATTACGCTGCTTAAAGGGTCTATAAAATAGTATAGCCGCGCGGCTATACTGTTTTTTAAAAATTTTAAAAACTGTGTATAGCCGTGCGGCTGTACTATTTTTCCATGTAAAAAAAGAGGAGCCCATTCATTAGGCGCCACGTGTCAAGACAACTCTACTTTTAAGAAGAATTAAGAACACAGCGTATAGCCGGGCGGCTGTACTCATTTTTGTTTTTT